GTTGTCCACGGCCGGTCTGCAAAGGAAGCGATCATGCCACCGGAACATTTGGTTCGAGAGCCCTAGTAAGTGGTAGGTGGTAGTGGTTAGTGGTAGTCGCTTCGAGTGGTAGGTCGGGTAGTGGTAGCGGTGGCCGGGGGCGGTGAGCGGTGGCGCGGTGGCGCGTGGCGGGTGGCGCGTGGCGGTCGGCGTTGTAGCAGGATACAGCGAGTAGGCAGTAGCGATAGTAGCAGTAGCCAGTGAGCAGGTAGGCAGTAGCAGATAGCAAGTACAGTAGCAGTAGCGTAGCTAGTAGGCAAGTAGGCACAGTAGCAGTAGCAAGGTAGCAGTAGCGTTAGCAGTTACAGGTAAGCAGTAGGGCAGTAGCAGTAGCAGTAGCAGTAGCAGGAGCAGATAGGCAAGTAGCAGTAGCCGTAAGCAGTGAAGCCGAGCTAGAGCAGTAGTCGAGCTAGCAGTAGCAGTAGCAGTAGCAGTAATGGCAGTAGCAGTTAGCAGTAGGCGAAGTAGGCAGTAGCAAAGTAGGCAGTAACAGTAACAGTAACAGGTAACAGTAACAGGTAACCAGTAACAGTAGCAGTAGAGCAAGGTAGCAGCAAGCGAGCACGAAGGCAGTACAGTAGCAGTAGCAGTAGCAGCAGCAGCAGCAGCAGTAGCAGTAGCACGTAAATATGCGCGAAGGTTGGATCAACGTGAAGGTGAGCGGTCCACTCGTCTTGTAAACCTCGCGTTGTTGCACTACCTGGGGTTACACCTGCAACAACCCACCACGAATTTCGGACGTACCCGTGCTGGCATTGATGGAAATCATTATTGAAAACTAGATGTTCTCTCGATATGGCATGAGTGTACAACAGCAGGCCCATTAGAAGATTTGCTTCGCCACCATGACGCATTACTCGTGCAGCGAGAAATCAGCTCCTTCCTACGTGTAGCGGTCGAAACACACTCCGTGCCACACAGGCACATGGAACGTTTCAATAGTAAATGGATGGTAAATAAACCCGAAATGTATTTACTACCAGTCTTAATGTTTCATTACTCCCTTTCGCATATTATTGCCGATAATCTCCTGTAAATGTTGTTGAAATGCTCATCTGCATCACGTGAGTACACCGCACAGAACATAGAAAACCGACAATATATATTCCTGTTGTTTGTGCACAGCGTCGTATGTGCGGTGTACTCATTTACAGGAAGTTATCGGCAATAATAGGCGAAACGTATCTAATAGTAGAGAAACATTAAGACTTTGGTAGTAAATACATTTCGTGTTTATTTACCATCATTTTACTATTAAAACCTTCTAAGTGCCTCCGTGCAGACGAAGCAGAGTGTAGTGAGGCGGGGTAGGGCCGCTGATGAAGCTAGCGGCCGGTAGAGGGACTATAGCTCTGAGCAGACGCCATGAAGTGTGCGCCTGTTGGACAAGGTGTGAACAATCGATGGGTCGGTGAGACGAATCTGTTACACATGCTTCGAATAGACGAGACTAATGTAGAGAGTAATCTAGAGACTTATATAGAATAATCTAGAAACTAACCTAGAGTAATATATATAACAGGGTTAATTGTTACTCAACCGTGAAGATTGGAAACGTACCGCTTACGTTTCGCCTCCTACCAGGAGGCTTTCTCAAAGCTAACTGATGATGATCAGTTTTGACCACCAGATGGTCTGGTGGTCAATAGCTTAGTCCACACGTGACTAAGCCTGTATCCCCTCTCGTCCCGGTTGATGTTCGGGGGTCTTGCGGATCCAGATGCCCTCCTTAATCCAACGCCTGATGATTGGCTCGCGATCGATGATCTTCGAATTCTCCCAATTGATGGTGTGATTGTCCTTCGCTATGTGGTCCGTGGTCGCGGATTTGGTGTTTTCGGTAGCCGACTGTTTTCGTTGAGGCTGTTGAGCCCTTGTGAACGATTTGGGTGCTACGGTGTCTACGTCCTTTTTGTGTTCTTTAAGGCGGGTTTCAAATTTTCGGCCGGTTTCTCCAATGTAACTTTTTCCACACATTGCACACGGTATCTTGTAGACACAGTCCGTAATGTTGTGCATATCTGTTCTGTCCTTAGGGTGTACCAAAAGCCGTTTTAGGGTCTCAAACGGTCTAACTGTTGAAGCCACACCTGCATTTTTAGGTGACGTTGAACTACGTCCGTGACGCCTCTGGCATAGATAGGGTAGGACAATCATCGCCTTCGGTTTCTCCGTGGAGGTTTTCTTTTGGGATGTTGTTTTTTCCCGTAATGTGTTCATCTCCTTGGACACTTTATCGAGTGTCCAATTGGGGTAGCCGCATTTTCCTAGTGCGTTCTTGATACTTATTTAATGAGTAACCTAATGTAATCTAGAGTAATGTAGAGTAATGTAGAAACTTATCTAGAGTAATGTAGAGACTACTCTAGAGTAATCTAGAGTCTTATAATAGCTATATAGAGTAACGTAGAGACTTATATAGAGTAATCTAGAGTAACGTAGAGACTTATCTAGAGTAATTGGTTCGCTCGATGTGTGTCGGATAAAAAGCTGGTTATTTATTGTCAAACGATCGCGACTATTGCGCGCATGCTAATAGGTGATCGCACTACGGACGCAGCGTTGCCATTACTGCTGGTTAATCATCTACTAGCAAAAAATCTACTCCAAATCTATTACTATTAATTAATTAGCTAATTAAGCTATTAATAACGCCGACAGTGTTTGAACGGCCGGAGCACTCAGTGGTTATATTCATCCGCCATTACTGGTGGGAGCGGAGTAATCTCTCTTAACCAGCTATTGTCGACGAGGCGTTATGATCGCCGATTCGATTGCGTTTTACTTCACTGAGACTACGTGCTCTCAAGGCGAGTGACGATGGCGATATGTTTAGCGGCCGTATCGGATTTGAAGAACAGCGCAGCGTTCGCGTGCCAACGGTCGTTGTAATATGAGACGTCATCCAGATAGTTCGTGCTGCTGAGAGTTCGTGTGTCTGGATCGTGAAGCCCTAATGATGATACTATTCCACTCTGAATAGGATGATTATAGATGGCCTCATCGAAATTTGCGAAAACGTCTATCTCAGGTTCAGCTCGCCTGATCATGTGTGCATCCTACTTGTACAGCACTATAGGTGCGTGCACGGGCGACTGTTACCAGCCTCCGATATAGCCTTCCTGGCAGGGTCATTAGCACTAGCATCCCTCCTGTCGGCAGTTGTCGCTGCGGTCACTTATAACTGACAACTCGCTCTCTTCGCTTGACACGTGTGGGCGAGCTAAGCTGGTTGTTGTTTGGCGTGTCAAATTGTAAAGGCAGACTGTTTTTTTTTGTATGTGCAAAGGTCTCCGTTAACAATGATGCATCAGATATGTTTCCAAATGCAAAGTTTCATTTAAGTGTAGTTCTTTTGATAGAGCCGTACAGCCTAATGGACGCAGTAAGCCCATACCGTCTGTCAGAATAATTCAGCCACGTTCGACGTAAGTGACAGTAATGTCATGTTGGATTTGCGTAGGTAGACGCTGCAACCCTTTCTGCAGGCAGTAAAGTCGGAAACGACACAGAGACCTACAAGTCAGTCATATGAGTGACCCCCACAGGTCATCTAGTAGAGATATTCAGCATGCACCGATTCTGCGTACCTTACACGAACGCGCACGCACGCACGCACGCACGCACGCACACACACACACATACTACGGCTTAGTCATCCTGTTAAACCGCTCCTATTCAACTAGCCAATAGAAGCGAAGAATGGCAATCAATGATGCAATTCAACATCGCTGAATCATTGCAATCGTGTACTAATTAGTGGTATTTATTGCTTGACGGGGCTAAATAACAAGCTCTATGCTGTACGGCGTAGTAGTTGGAAGTTCATCACTCGGTGTTCAATCGTGGGACAGAGGCTCGCGGCAAAGTTCACGTTGACATTAGTTAATACACTCGTGGCATAGTACTTGACGCAGAATCACAGCTGATGCTGTTTGCTATGAGAGTGAAGTGGGGGAAGCCACGACGAGCATGTTGCTCTTTACATGACGTCTTCGTGTGTTCCCCATCGGACAAGATGAAATAATATGCAAGCAAAATTGAGATGATTGGATGCATGATTGTAAAGGCATGCGCAGCAGCTGCAGCGGTGATATCTGGGTAATACGAAGAGTCCATAATAGAAGATTACTGATCGGTGTATTAGAAAGTTATGTTTAGATTTGTTTTCGCGTTCTTCCTCTCTGCCGGGCATCCCCCACATTTCACCTTTTCTTCGTGACTCAGAACGAAGCGAGATCTTTAGCGCGCGATCACACGCACGCACGCACGCACACACGCACGCACGCACACACGCACGCACAGCCACACACACACGCACACACGCACGCACGTACGAACGTACGCACGCACGTACGCACGCACGCACACACACACACGCGCTCACACACACACACGCACGCACGTACGAACGTACGCACGCACGTACGCACGCACG